CGGGTGCTTTGTTAGTTCATTCATTCATCCAATCAGCCAGCCAGCCAGCCAGTCAGCCAGTCATTGATAGCATATAGTTTTATGTCAAGCAACTACAAGCTCCAGGTACCAGTCCTTCATCCTTAAAGGAGAAGTGGCATTAAGCAGATATCCATGTCATTAATCATACTGCTTACATTGATGGTCTTGTAGGGTAGGTAGTGCAGGTGGCACTGGAACTGGGACCCAGAAGCATCTCTGCACTGGAATTAGACTCACCCAAGTGTGAACCCCTTTTTAGCTGGATAAGTGAATTTACAGCTCTGGGTCTCCCTTCTTTTTCAGAGGGGCTAACAACCACACCACTGGCTCGTGTAAGAGTTTAGGATGCAACAAATAATGCCTGGTCTGAGCCACACTCGACATTAAACAAGTACTAGAACTTCCTTCTTTACACTTTCTGGGGTCAGAAAAACAGAACGCTGTTAGGGCAAATGTCCCAAAGGCCATGTGCCCTTCAGTCGCTTACTTTCTTAAATTTAATTCGACCCTTCTATGACAAGCATTGGGCTCCCACACTACATTCACCACACCAGCAATGACAGGAACCACAAAGAGCCTTTTGTGGCTCCATGAAAGACATATCCCATGAAAGGATGACACTAATTTGTACAACTAAGAATGTCAGCTAACATTCAGAAAAAACAGCCCCAGGGAATCACACTGGGACCTCAAGGAGGTCAGAACTAGAATACCCAGGAAACCAGAACAAGAAGAAAAATTCTGGTGGCACTCAGCACTATCCTTGGAACTTAACATTTAAGACTTCTTTTGCTCCACATATTCCTGTTTATTAGATAAGAATGCTGAGGTCCAAGAAAACAAGAACCCAAGAGCCCAGGCTAGTGGGGCCCTGTGTCTGGCTGTCTCCAAAACCCACATTCTTTCTATGACAGCAGATTGCATCACATTAACAACCCCATGGTTATTGCTTGTTTCAATTTGCAATGCAGCAATTTAGTCATTTTAAATTAATCCTTGAAAAATCACCAAGAGATTAAAATGCAAATTTTGAAAAAGCTAGAGCTCTATGGTGATTTTGTGTCAAACCCACACAAATTGGTCTCACAAAAGTTCAGTGTCTCCTGAGAGGAAAAGCTTCCTTGCTTTGTTGTGTATTTCAGATATGAAATATCATTTCTTTCTTTTTTTCTCATGAATATCACCAGTCAACCCCAGGGGGTCAAACCTTGGAACCTGGGTTGCTACACCCCACTGACCTGAAGACTAAGGCTAGCAACCAGAGCCTATGAGCTCTGGGCTCTGTGCATGTGAAATGGAGCTCACGTCTACCTCTCACAGAGTAGCTGCAGGGATTAAAATGGAATGGTGTGCATTAGGAGACTGGCAGATTGGTACTACTATTCTGCTCAGAAACAAACAAGACCAGCCCTCTACTGGTTTGCAAAGGAGGATTTAGGGGACAATGGGTCATACACAGGGAATTGGTTCATTAGTGGCAAAACCAGCAGAGAAAAATCTAAATTTCAAAAATCGTGGGGGCAGGGGAGGAAACATACAGCACAGCCAGGAACTGGAGGTGGTATTATGGAGAGGACAGTTTAAACAAATGTTTCTAATCTCAGCAGTTACGGTGCTGAAAATTAGGGAATTATAAAAAAAAAAAGTTCAGTGACTTTAAAACCAAGTTCTTAAGGAATTCTTGGCCCTTAAAAAAAAGATGAGTCAGACGTAAGTAACCATTGTTATTATGTTATTAATTTAGCATAGAATAACATGACAATGTACCTACATATTTCCTCTTCTCCCTGATCCCACTAGGGAAAGTCAAGTAAAAGCATTTTCAAAGTTATGAATCCTGAAGAATAGCAGAGAGGTATCAATCTTCTAAACTCTAAAAAGATGTTATTAATGAACTGGTTCTCAACTTGAGACCCCTTATCACTGAGAGCACACTGGGCAATTCTTGGAGACATTTCTGGCTGTCATGGTTTGGGGGTGGAGTGAGGAGGAGAATAATAACAACAACATAGTGAGTACTGCCCAAGGATGCTCAAAAAAATTATACAATGCATAAGACAGACATAGGCAACAAAAGATTACCTGGTCCAAGGTGACATGAGTGTTAATGGAGGATGAAAAGGAAAGCTGGATGCTAAGGTTGAGGTGGGTGGGTGGACATGTCAAAAAACACCCAGCCCTACACACAGAGCCCCACGAAAGCTCAGGAAGTAAAGTTGATCAGCCTCTAAAGGTTAGGAAAGGGCACAAATGAAATGGAAGTCATTCATTCCCAAGATTCTTCTCTTAAGCTCCCAGCTCCTCAGTTGGCCTCCTGCACCTGTCCATCTCAACCAGAAGGATCTGGGGTTACCAGATACAGCTGAGGATGGTCAAAATGGCACTAATTAGAAAAGGGGACTAAACTAAGGTAACCATACCACATGTTGTCACCTTATAACCCACTCAGCTTCCTTAGCACTGGTAATAAACACCCACTCTCCAAGCAGAAGAAAACTGACTGGTCATGAGCAAAAGGATAATGATACAGGAGACTCTACCTCTGTATTTAGTCACACCAGTTCTAAGGGGTCCTTTTGGGATCAAGCTATGCTCATGAGCACAGAACTTCAGGTCTGATGTTTAGGTCTCACTCTTAAATGTGACAAGGCAAACATCTCAGACAAAGCTCTACAAGAGATTCACAGACAAACAGAAGCCAGGTTAGAGTGTGAGATGATGTGGGAGCTGCTGATGTCCACTGACAAGCCTGGAAAATGTAAGAACAACAGGAAGAGGAGAAAAAGAATTAGAATTAATTTTTAAATCTGGGTATAAAAGTCTTCCAGATGAGGTTTGAAAAAAAAAAAGAAAGAAAGAGAGTAAGATGGCCAAAGTAGGAAATTTAAAGGAATGGAAAAATTGAAGAGAGCAGAGGTCAGTCTAAAAGAGAAATGTGGAAAACAGGAGAGAAAATGAACATTAGAAGATCAATCAGGAGGTTTAAAACCTACCTGCCATAGAAAAGAGAAATGAAGATTAGACAAACAGTAATATGAGAGTAGTATATGAGAGTAGTTGTCAGCTGTGAGTTCCCAAAGCAGATAAGATGACAATGGCCAGGACTATGGGTGGAAACAGACCTATTAAGGCACATTATTGTTCAATTTCAGGATATTAGAGGACAACAGATCATAAAAAATAATAATAGGGATCAAATTGGCCAAATCTCCTATGCTACAAGAGTAAGAAGTCAGTTAACTTGTCTTCACATTTCTTCATATTATGTTTATCTTAACCAGTCAAACTCTGCTAAAAACAAACTTATTTTACAGTTTCCATATTTATTAGATGTTTATGTATCTTTTTAATTTGTTTTAAATATACATTTTGATTCCTCCCACCAGCCTCTCCCAATTCCCCTCCCTCTAATTTATCTTTTCCAGTTCTTAAGAAAGTCTTCATTTGCAATATTACCTTAACAATAAATTAAATATTTTTTCTAGTTTTGGTTTGTGACTTTTTCTGATCTCTTGAACAGATGTTTTACAGTGCTTTAGAGAATACCTAGGTCCTTGCCCACATTGAGCAAGTGCTGTGTACTGAGCTATATGCCTAGTACTTTAATTTCTTGAATTCAAACTCAACTTCATTATTCTTACATAAGCATTCAAGGCTATGAATTTTCCTTTTTGGAGTGTGTTTGGCCACATTATTTTAAACAGAAAGGAATTTTGGCATCTGCTATAATACAGATAAACTTTAAAGACATTATGCTAATTGGAATAAGGCAGACACAAAAGGACAAACAGTATATCGAGGTGGTGGCGGCACACGACTTTTATGCCAGCACTTGGGAAGCAGAGGCAGGCAGATCTCTAAATTAGAGGCCAGACTGGTATACAGAGCCAGTTCTCTAAATTAGAGGCCAGACTGGTATACAGAGCCAGTTCTAGAACAGCCAGAGTTGCACAAAGAAATCCTGTCTCAAAAACAAACAAACAAACAAACAAACAAAACAAAATAAGTGTACCATTCCACAGATGCGTGGTGCTTGAAAGCAGGCAGAAATCACAGTTAGAATAATGGTTCCTACGAACTGATGGCTATGTGTTGCTAGGTCCAGAGCTGTAATCTTCAAAGATGAAAACTCTGGAGACCAATAGAATGTGAACGTTTTCAAAACTACTGACTGTATGCTCTGAAGTAGATAGCACAGTACTCAAAAAAACTGACTGTGTACTCTGAAGTAGATAATACAGTCAACTTCATGCTACCTACATTTTACCAAGGACCTTGCTGGTAGCTGCTCTAGGCTTTACTCTACATTGTATGATTTACAATCACAGTAAAATATTTTGCAGCTGTGCCCCAAGGTAGACAGGTCACTCAGCTTATTGGGGGGGGGGGCAAACAAGAACCAACAGATCCGTCACTGTAGCTCACTGCTTCCCTGCCCTTAGAAGGTGAGGGTGAGCATTCTCCTATTTCACTTACCATTATGTGAAGTGCTTTCTGAGAAGTGAACATAGAAACGAGTGTACTTACACACACCTGCCCTAATAAACATTTGCATGGGAACTTTTTGCTAAGAACATCTCATCTTATGATAAGAGAATTGAGAACCCAAATCTACTTTATAAAGAACACCTAAGTTCCCTCTAATGGAGTATTATTCAGTTGACAACAATGATTCTTAACAATGAAAATGCTAACATGCTCTTCTAATAGGGGATTTTAGGTATGTAAAAAATGTCCTAAAAAGACTAGAATGAATATCAACTGTTAATAAGTGATTACTTTTGAGAAATATGAAGAACACCTCTCCTTGAGTCTGAACTCTGTAGATATTTCCAATTTGCTTTTGCTACTTATAATCCATTGTTCTCTTTATATTTCTTTTAGCAATCTACTACAACTATACTTGAAAATATATCCTTTTGTTTTAAAAACATGAGCAGTAAACAAGTAAGTGTCATGCCCCCTTTCCACATACTTACATTCTCAGGTATGCTGGGAAGCTCTCTGGTATCAGGCACAGTGAAGTACGAATGCTGTAAAAGAAAAAAAAAACACACACACACACACACAAGCTGCATATTCTTTCAGGATGAGCTAACTAATATATGATTCCAAATTTGTTAAATGTTCTGAACATCTCTTTAACTCAGATGTGTTTTCTTGTAGTAAACATCCACATTATAGCTGCTAAGGCTAATGTTGGACCAAGCTAGGGGCATTAACTCATCACCATGAGAGATGAATGTCTTTGGGAGACATAAATGAAAAATTCAAAGAAGCTGAAGTCTGAATCCCCACCTGGTATTTGCAGATTTCTGAACACAAAGAAGTGGCCAGTTTTGTAATTGATTGTTCAATGGGGCAGTGGACACTTAGAAACCAGATAACCCTAGATTCAGTCACTAAGTGACAGAATGTCTCCACCAATCCTGCAATTTCACTTTGGCATTTGAGGTCACATCAATCTATACTGTAGTCAAAATCTGCTCATATGATGTTCACGATAGTCCCAGCTAAAGGCAACTCCATCTGAAATGATACGGATGGTTGCCAGTGGAGGATGAGTTCCTGACTTACAGTGTGATTATCATGGAAGAGAGCTGGAGCCTGGGTGGGGAAGACTTCAAAGATGTATAATGAGGATCCTCCATGCTTGTACCAAGCCTGTGTCTCTTAAGTTATATGAAAACTGGCCGAACTAACACTGCCTCCTCTGCTGCGTTTTTCGAGACAGGGTTTCTCTGTATTGTTTTGAAGCCTGTCCTGGAACTCACTCTGTAGACCAGGAAGGCCTTGAACTCAGAGAGATCCATCTGCCTCTGCCTCCCGAGCACTGGGATTAAAGGCGTGCGCCACCAATGCCCGGCTTCTCTACTGTTTTAAAGGCTCAGAAGACAATGGTAAGTGGAATTGGAAGGCTGGACTGTGAAAGGCCAGAGAAGCTTAAGTGCAGAAAGGTTCAATTCAGCCATGGCTCAAGTTCAAATAAGGACCTTTCCCCCAAGCACTTGTTCCTGGGTAATAGGAGAGTAAGTGAGTTTCTAAGAAATGGATTGTACAGTCTTTCTAAAACAAAGGGTCCTGGAGACAATGAGCTGCTTGTCTGACACTCAAAAGAAATTTACTGAATACCTGCTTATGTAAAACATTTCAATAAATACTAAAAAAAACATCACTTCTATTTGCCACAATAAAATTTGAAAATAGTTATCTCCATATTACAAATAAATGAATTAATGTTCAGAGAGGCAAATAGTCTAAGATGATTCAATGAGTATATGGAGGAACTAGGATGGACCCAGAGCAGTGTAACTAACCACACCCAGGTCCTTTCCGCTGTATCACTCTTATGTTTGTGCTTTTATTCGCCAATATAAAGGAGCTTGAGTAAGCACTTCATACATGAGGCATTTAGCACACAACAAATGGTACTTTACTTATTTATTTATTTATTTGGACACAGGGTTTCACTATGTAGTTCTAACTGGTCTGAAACTTGCTATATAGACTAGACTAGTTTTGGCCTTGCTCTGATCCTCCTGCCTCTGCTTCCAGAATGTTGAAATTACAGGCATGTACTACCACAACCAGCTTAACAAATGGATTTTAATACACTATTATTATTGTTTAAACTGCTAGTTTGTATTTCTGTTTTCTTAATAACCTACATCACCTACAGGAACATTCTCTTGTAGAAAGTGGCTAAATAAACAAAGCCCAGTCTTGGCATTTCACCAATATTTTAGGATTTCTATTACAAATGAGATGCTAGCCCTTCAAAAAGAAATGCATTTTGGGAAGAAGACTGTCCAGTGAAGAGGGGGAATCAGCCTTTATAGATGCAATGGATTGTAAAGAGTGAGCTGGCAGAACTCTAAACCAACTAGTCCCCAGGCTGTCCTTGGAGATTCTGTCTTGCTCCATTGCCCATGAAATGCTGGAGACCAAGGGAGGTCAGAAACATTCCTAGAATCCACTGGAATGAAACAGCTGCACACCCAAAAGTTCCTCCTGCCCCTGAACTGGCTTGTCCTTGAGGCCTGACAGCATGCTGCCTGTGCATTTGGGGAAGGAGTGGCCCTTCCTCCCAGGCAGCTGGTGACCCAGCCAGGCTGCTCCACAGCTACCTGTCAGGTGTTATTACAGGCTGAAGTAGTGAGATCAAGCTGCTTAGGAAAAAAGACTGAGACAAAGGCAGTGCTGCTCTGCTTCAGTGATAACTGGGAATACAGCAAACTTGCTCATCTTTTCTGGCAGTCCCTACTCTCCCATGAGCAAATCATCCATAAGAAAATTCCTTCCCTCTTTCCCACTTTCCACCTCCCTCCCTACCTCTGTCCCTTCCCCCTCTCAGCTCAGCATTATAAAAGCTAGGCCATTATTTCTAAATCACAGATGTTCCATGTATACCTTTCCCTCTCTAAAGCTTTGCTCTACAGCATAAGAATGTTAACACTTACATTGGGAACAATTTTGAACATCAGAGGTGTATATTTAGTAGGAATTACGAACATAAAATAGATTTGTTATTGTTATCATTATTGGCAATACTGTGGCTTTTCATGCCATTTTGGCAAAATCCATTAGTTTGCCTATGGAATCAGACACCTTCCAGATCCCTGAACCCAGCACTGTATCTGCTTCTTGAGAATCTGGAAGAGAAAACTCTCTAACCCATAAGGAATGTGGGGTAGGGAGATGGGTCTGTATGACTGTGGGTGCCTGGCCAAAGGATGTCTACCACAAAATTCTGATAAGGGCAATTTGACAGCTTCCATCTAAGAGATAAAATAACTTAGTAACTGAATTATAGAAAAAAATCCTACACACCCTTTCTGATGTTCTATCTGACAGATAAGGAAGTTAAGCCTGTATAGTTAGAGGTCTTGATTTAAGTCACTTCAAGCACTAGCAAAATAGCAACTGGAACAGAAATTCCCACCAGTTGGCTCAGAGGAATTTCTACCTTGGCACACTGTACAACGTGCAGGATGTATCTCAAAGCACTCAAAGAAACAATGACTGCTGTAGGCCAGGACCTATGCTGAGACCTCTCACTCTGTAGTCAAAGGACAGAGACTGGAAACCAGTTTACTCCCACAGGATAGAACTGAATCTCCAAGACCCTAATCCATGCCAGGGGATTAGGGTCAAAGAGAATGCCTAATTCAGCCTGTGAGGTCAGGGGAGAATTTCGCAGGAAACAGAATCAGAATTGGTTTTGAAGGATACACAAATTAACAGGTAAACAGGAGAGGTAGTGTTGAAGATTAAGGATCCGGAATGAGCTTTAGCTGTGACAGAGAGTAATACAGGTGGTCAAAGATGGGATAAAAATATTCATCTGTGTCTAAAAATATGAGTGGTCATTTGGGAAGCATCTAGTCTTCAATGATTCTCAGAGAGAGGGAGAATCCCACACCCCAGCTTGCCTTGAACTCAGGCTCAGGCTAAGAGTGTGGGTCTGACCTCCTCTGAAGGTCCATATATACATGCTTACTTGGGGTGGCCACCATTCTTCTTCACTTACCACACTGAGATGAACAGACACTCCGGGGTCAGGGATGGGAAGTCGGTGCAGAGTTTCAAGAAGTTCATTCCACTGACTTTCCTGAAAGAAAGAAAAAGCCCAAGTGACAAAAGCTGATCCTGCAGTAAGGTCTGGATGCATAGAGAGACAGGTGGGAGACACTGGCCCCATGACAGAAATAGGTTTGATATTCAAGTAGGGTTGGATAAAAGACATTGCTTATGGCTCAAACTTAAGAGCCAAGCAGATCCTCCCACACCAAGTTTGACATTTTCTATTCAGTCAGACACCTACCATGACCGCCTTTTATGGATCATATACCATAAGCTCTCAGCACATCTATCCCTTCAATTCCATAGCAACAACTTCTAAATGCAAACAATCTGAGTTTCCAGGGCGGGGGTGGCTGGGAGAAATAATAATGACACTGTGGATCTTGACTTCATCATCATTACCCTCAATTAATTTTATTGAGTGTACACTGGGTACATGTAGCAGTCTCCAATTATGGAAAGTTAGAAATGACGCAAGTTCATATTCGATACAGGACAGCAGTCGCACATTTTAATTAGGGAAACTGAGCAGCTGAATAACATACAAAGCACCACAAATTATTCGACTCAAAACAGATTCGCCTTTAAGATGCTCAAAACAACAGCACTCATAAAAGATTCAAAAGCCACTTCTACCCTGTGGGATTCTGTGTGCTAACAGAAGAAAGTTAAGTTTACACAGGCAGCCATGTCCTAACTGCTGGATCCTTCTAGCCACTCACTTAGGAAGTATGAAGGTCTGAAGAGTGAAGCACTAGTCTCGTATTCGACAGTAGGATGCACAGCCCAGGAGGGAGGCAGGATTTCTGTGTCCAAGTCCACAGCCCTCTCTGGCTCTGGCAGGGAGCCTGAGATGAAAGGGATGAACTTACTTTACAAGCTTGATTCAGTATGTGTTCTGACAATCAAGTTTCTTAGAGGACATACAAACTTGAGGGTGTGTGCACAGGGTTAGTTTTGCTTGCTAACAGTCTCACACCTACAGAATAATTCTAGAAACAGACAAAGGCCCTTTCATTTCCTCGATTATTGGAGAATGAGTTGTTAGCATTATATCTCATCATCATCTACACACACACACACACACACACACACAACCACCCAGCCACCCTTCCTGCAAACAACCACATTTAATCACCACAACCAGGAAACATGCCACAGCACATCGTTGCCATGTAACCCTGTCCAGCTGTGCTGAACACGTCCTCATGGCAATCAGCCACCCTTCCTCCAAACAACCACATTTAATCACCACAGCCAGGAAACATGCCACAGCACATCATTGCCATGTAACCCTGTCCAGCTGTGCTGAACACGTCCTCATGGCAATCAAATCAGTTTAGAAGCATGAATGGAACTTGAGCAGGGCTGACTCTTGTAGGAAAACCCTTGTCTTCCCTAGATCTGCAGGACCTTGACCACCCATTTTGCACAATGAGTCTCAGCTGTCAGATGTCAGATCCTCATGAATCTCAGCTTGTCCTTTATTGAGGATGTATTCCTACCCCTCGACTATTTAATCTCAGATCTCTATTAGGCAACCCCTCCTCTGGCATTTAACTGCAAGTATTCCATCCCTAAAGCTTCGAATCTAGCTGTTTATTATTTACCTTACTACAACTGAATAAGATTTATTTGCTGTCAGTATTTGTCTTGATGCTCCAGAATAAGATAACTGGAAACCTCTTGGCCCTTTACCTTACTTTTGTATCTTGAGGACATGTCCCCATCATATTTTGAACTTTAAGTTGGGGCACAAAAGATATTTTAGCATCACCTTACACTTTTCCTACATGAGTCTTAGAAGTAGTCTTGTCTTTACAGAGCCAGGGCTCCTTTCCTTGGGAGTATTTGTAAGCCAAGTCTGGGAGCCATGTCTGCTTTTGTTTGCTATTCCTTGGGAAAGCTGACACCAGACCTCCAGTGGTCAGAGCCATCAAGTGTCACACACATAGGCCACCACATGCACTTCACATCTCAACATACTTTTCTCTCCACACACTTAAAACCTTAGCCTCACAATAATGCTTCCAACTGCAAGCCAACACAGGAGTCACTCCTGTCCCTTCTCTTTGCTGTCCCTATCTTAGGGTAGGCCTTCCTATCTCATGCTCTGGCACCAAGCACTGGGTTACCACTGCTGCTTCCCTTCCTGTTTGGATCTCTGCAGATCCCACTGAATTCCCACATCTCACATCACACCCACTCCCACTCTCCCCCCTCCCCCCACACCTTCATCTCCTTTAGCTCCAACAACCCAAGTAGGCTGCTGCCTGGATCAGGTTTCTTGCCATTCCTTTCATGCAGATTTCCTTTCTGTCCTATTCAGGGTCTGATAACACAGGGGCCAGGACCTACACAGAAATCTCCATGCCCCACCTTAGGCTACAAGACTTGGTGACTCTCATTGGTTACACATATGCCTTCCCAAATAGAAGCTTGCCTCATCCAACAATCCCATAACTTCTGGATGGGAGAAGGCTGTTTTAAGGGAACAAACATACTGGTTTTGTTTGGGTCTTGGTTTCCACATGTATATGATGCATGCATGTGTTCTTATGTTTGCATGTGCACGTGGAAGCCTCTGGCCAATATTAGGGATCTTCCTAGATTGCTCTCCACTTTATTTTTAAGACAAGGCTTTCAGTGAATCCAGAGCTCATTTATTCAGCTAAGGTTTATGTCTAATGGGCTCCAGGGATCTGCCTGCCCTCCTCCTGAGTGCTTGGATTAGATGCAACAGCTGTTGTGCCTGTTTTCTGTATGGGTGCTACAGATCCAAGTTAATGTCTTCATGTGTGTTGACCAGGTATATTGTCAGCTGAAATAGCCCTTCCTTTCATCCTGTTCTCATCTGGTAGTCAACATCTTTTGAATAAGCCAGTGGTAGACAGAGTCCTTACTCTGCATTATCAGAAGTCCTTTGGCCAGAACAAACTTTGTAGGCACCCTGAGTCAGAAAAAATAGACTCCAGTCAACTAAGCCATGTGACTGATCTCAGCTTCCCATACAGCATAAGGCTGAGGTCTCACCAGGCTCAGAGGACAAATGCACTGATCCCACAGGGTTATCCTCAGTTTACAGCACCCCTCCTTATCCAAGATTTCCCTCCCTCCATCTCTCCTTCTTTCCCTCCCTTCCTCCTTTTCAATTTCTTTGAGACAAGGTGTCATGTAGCCCAGATTAGTTTCAAACTCACTTAACCAGCAAGTGAGACACTAGCTGCCTGAATCTCCATTTGTAGTTAAGGATGGTTTTGAATTCCTGATCCTCCTGGCTGCCTCTCAAATGCTAGGACTATGGGTATATGCATTTTCAGATAAAATTTCAAAAGTGTACTACATTGAACTATTGTTTTTAAAAACTAAAGGGTGGGGTACGAAAACATGAGTTGATGCCCAGTTCAAAGACAACATGTTACATACTTTTATTTATTAAAGATATATTTCAAATTGAGTGGAAACCTGAATGTCTGACCAAAGCTAAATGTGCATCAGAAATCGATGAACAGATTTCAAGGCAGCCTGCTACCTCATTCATCAAAGACACATGCTCTTCTATGATAGAATTCCTGACCTAACAATTCCTTTCACACTGAGTGTGATGAGTAAGAAGCCATTTCTATGAACCATTCCTGCCATCTGTTGTGACCTCTGGAATATATTTGCTACTGAGTACAACTCACTCAAAGAAAATATTTATCCATTGTATACTCAGTTTCCACTCCCCCACCCCAAACAACATTTCCCAAAATAATGTTTCAGGGAACCCTGCAAATCAGTCTTTTGTTTGTCATGGATTAAAAAGGGGTTGAGGTAAAAGCATCAAGTAACCAAGGCACCCCAATGTGGGCCTCCTGAGAGCCTATATAATGTGAATCATATGGGAAAAAATTAAAACAAACACAGATTTGTGACCCTTTAAGCCCAGTAATACAGAACTATAATTATTTAATAGAATATTAAATATTTTCACATCTAGGATACTATAGATAAATCAAAAGGAAAAGTACTTATGGCATTTTACAACTATGCTATATCACTTTAGCTTGAAATGTTGCCCTTTACAAAAAGAAAAACACAAGAAAACAGGTATACAAGCAAATATTCAACTTGCTAATAATAGTGAGATTTTTTAACTTATCCAATAAATGACAAGTTCAACAAATGTTATCAGTGACAATGTTGGAATCAATTGTGTTGCAAACAGTGCATTTTAAGAAAATAGTGCAATTCTTTTGGAAAGCAGTTTGGCAAATGTTTTATAAATACTTATGCCCATACCAAGTTTACAATTGTCTATCTAGGATTCCTTTCTTAGAGAGATAATGAAAACTGAAGTTTTTTTTTTTTGTTGTTTTGTTTTGTCTTGGTGTTTTTGAGACAAGGTTTCTCTGTATTGTTTTGGAGGCTGTCCTGGAACTTGCTCTGTAGACCTGGATGGCCTCAAACTCAGAGATCCGCCTGCCTCTGCCACCCGAGTGCTGGGATTAAAGGTGTGAGCGACCAATGCCCGGCAAGAAAATATTTTATATTCAAAGACTGGTCTCCCTCTTTCTGTATGTCCCCCACCCCTGTGTGTCTGTATGTGTGTGAGGCGGTTATCTGTGCACGTGTCACATGTGTGTTTATGTGTGCATGTGCATATACACACATGCACACACAACATAGTCACCGGTCAGAGGAGACATTGGGTGTCCTGCTCTAATATTATCTTTTCCTCTTGAAATAGGGTCTGCTACTGAAGCTGGACCTAGGCTGGTAGACACCATGCCATAGAAATCCTCTTGTCTCTACCTCCAACATTGCTAGGGTCATAGGGGCACACATAGTTGCCTCTGGTCCTCAGATTTTTACTAGGGGTTTAAATAGAGGTTTTCAGGATTGGACAGGAAGCACTCTTCCACAGAGTCATTTCCTCAATCCTTTGTACTGCTTATAATAATGAAAACAAAAATCTCAAATAATTAAAAGACCCCCATAAGAAGGAAGTGTTTTGATGAGCAAAGGTATAGCTATAAAAAAATACTTATATGATATTTTCAATACTGTTGAAGAAATGATTCTATGTCAATACTTCCCAAATAGGCGGGCTATAAAAGTTTTAAATACTGATCCAGACAACCTTTGTTGCCATGGATGAGAGCTGAGGTTAGCACAGCATTTCTCTCAAAGGTAATTAAGGTACAGCAGAACTGTTAAAGGAATTTTCAGACCCTTACAAGAATTACTACAAAAATGCCACAAAACTTTATTAAAATGGGGATGTGGCAGCTGTTAAGCTACCTGCCAGTTAAGTGATCTGTAACATGGCATGAGCAATTCAGCTTCATGCCTTTGAGAAATTATAATTGAATACTTAGTGTGCTTTCAGGGTTGTTGAGAAAATTTGACACTAATGCTGGGAGCATGAACTGTCTAGTTATTATTTCCTTCCTTCAAAAGAAAAAAAAAAGAGTAAAAATTTTAGCAATATTTATTTTGGGGATGACGTGAGGCATATTAGGTGAGAAGTGATTTTCTTTTCCCTTCCAATATTTTCTGAATTTCTCAACATTTCAAGGATAAGCATGCATTACTTTTTTCGTAAGTGTTTTAGTAAAATAAAAGGCACACATTACTTTCACAATCATCAAACATTTACCTGTTAAAATAATTATTTTTTAAATGGCAATTACCTGTTGTTTTGTTGTGTAATCTGCCAAGATATTAAGGAGCTTATAAAACACCTCGAACCAGGGGAGGTAGCTGAGGAAGACAAAGAAACAAAAGAATTGTTAGCATGCAGGTCAAAAGCCACAATGAAGGTTTAACTCAAACCAAAACATTTCAGGTTTTCTCTACATCCTGAAGGTGCTAGCCATGACTGAGATAAACCCAAACTGCTTAAATATTAATTATTTCTGGGTTATAAAATAATGCCTGTGTGAGGCAGAACACTAAATGTCCATTATGAATTATTCCTGTGCCTCAAAACTAGAGTAGCTTCACAGAGAGAAAATTCAAACTAGAGTCTGCAGTGAAGCACCATGTTTGAGTAGCTAGGCGTGTCTCCTATCATCCCCACACTCTCTAGGAAAGCTCCTGTTCCATTTCTCATGATTGGACACACAGCAATGAACAGCATGCCCATGGTTGGCCTCTGGGTCCCACATGCCCTGCACAACAAAAACCAATCATGTTAGTCCACCAGAGACCTCCCACCTCTACTGGATATGTGGTTTCCTGGCTGTAGCATGGACGGATAACGCAGTTCCCTTTGCCATCAAGCAGGTCCTGACCATTGCTCCTCTGATTTCACAGGACTGTCTGCCAGCAGAGCTCACTCTCGAAATTGACCCTCTGTGTGGCTGTCAGAATGGCTTATCAAAAATGGAAGTCTGGATGGGCCTGGCTAGAGAGGGCAAAGCTGCAACGGCAGCCAATGATCTGCAACCTGAGGTTTCTTCCCCCTAGCCCTTCTTGCCTTCCTAGCACTCAACTCCTCTGATGACCAAAAAGACAAAGTGAAGAAGGTTGGCCTAGGGGTTAAGGGTGGCAAGTCTGTGTAGTAGACTTGGGGACCCTGTGCCTCCAGCAGCAAGGACATAGACATTTATCTGAGAGGGCACCTGTGGGGCTGAGAGCCAGCACATCCAACATAGGCAACAAAGGACAAGTAGACCTGGTGCAACACCTAGTGCCAGGAGGCCACCTGTGTAACCAAGTGAAGAGAAAAGCCAAGAAAGGCGAAGGAAAGGACTTAGGCCAGTGTCAGAGCCTCTGCCCTCCCTGGGAGCTCTCCTCTCCCAAGCGATAACCCACTAGTGCCTTCTGTAGTCTCATCAGTATTGCCAATGCCTCTGCCCTCTCACTCCCCACACCAAGTACCCAAAGAGGGGAGATACAAGGGAGTCTGGGAAACTTGAGCCTCCCCAGTGGAGGGATGTGATTCCCAGTACCCTCTTTTTGCTTCCCCCCAACTGATACCTGTTACTAATGAATAAATAATATTCATTATTGTGAATGAATAAAATGAACTGACCCCCCTCAACAATCCAAACCAAATAGCACATTCAATTACTGCAGTGGCATCCCATTCCTACAGCCCATGCTCCTCAGGAGGGCTTCTGTAGTTCTCCCTTCTCAGGGTCTTGACCAGTTCTGACTCTTTTTGTCCCCTTCTTTTGTGCCCCAATTCCTTCTTTTCCATAGTGCTCATGCATAAATTACTGCTTGTTCCCTCCTACAGCATAGCACTCAACAGCACTATTGTTTTCTCAACTGACTACACAGAAAAGGGAGCACAGCTTCCTTCACTGTGTCCTGAGCACCAAGACCAACAATGGCACTTGCCTCTATATTCTGAGTTCAGAATTTATTGGGAAACACACACACCCTAGATAAAGACTAGCAGACAGCAAGGGCCCTTAGAGCCATGGAAAAGTTAGGCAGAATTATCCCTACTCCAAGAAGCACACCCTGCCCCCACTTTAAATGCTCTGTTCTCTTTTAGGAAAGTTCCCCAAAACTACTAAGAACAGGCACGTGTGAAGCTTGCTGCTCAGGTCTGTTCACATATATTTTCTGCCATACAAATGGTGTTTGTTACTGATGGGCCTGGATCCGAGGCAGGGTCCAGATGTGATATCCTGCCCGGGAGAGGGGATCAGCACCCTGCACAGATTACTGCTGGAACACTGAGAGTAATAAATGAAGTGAGAGGTAATAGAAAGGACAGATAAAGTGCACGAGCTCCCTCCTATCTGGGATGTCTGTCTGAAGACAGAACATGCTACCGTAAAATTTAAGTAGCTTATCAAAATATACTGATAAGCAACTTAACTTTTCACTTCTATGACAGTATTATCACTTATGTTAATATGTTTCCATCAGCTCTGGCAGCCACATATGGACTCTTCCAGAACAAATGGCTGCTGCCACTCTCCACAGAGTTAGCCCTGGCAGAGCAATGTAAACATTCAAGAGGGATTAGGCATAAGATAACATACTGCCTTCCTTTTCTGCTAACTAAACCTTCATGAGCTAAAAGCCAGTAGAGTAGAATAAGAAAGCCCCCTCCTAAGAAAACCACACAGATTAGAGGACTCTTTGTAAACAAACCCAGCCTGAAAGAAAATACCACTAGGTAAACCCAACAACTAGAAGTCAGAAAAGAGGAAAGGGGTAAGCAGGGGAGATGCAGGCCATAAGAGATGCAGAAGAAAGTAAAGCTCGGCTCGGTTTATGGATAGATACAGGAAGCTGTGCAGCAGGGCAGCCTGCTTCTCTAGGGCTTTGGAACGAGAGAGCATACTCGTCAACTTACAGGCAGAGCCTGCAGCCCTAGTAGCTTCATTTGGCTCATGAGGACTGTCTGGCCCACAGAGCCAGCCCACTTCACTCTATCAGCTTCTGTCTCACCAAAACAATTACTTTGGTTACTGTGGGCAGAACCATTGGCCATGGACTGCTCTGTAGTTAGTTACTCATGAAACCTGGCACTTCTCACTCCTTCTGGCCTGACCAGATACAACTGTTCCCCACATGTTGTCCCCTGTGTGCTGACAGATGAATGTCTAGTGATGGCAGTGCTAGGGTTTTGAAACTAAACCGCAGCTGTCTTCTTCAAAGCATCCCAGCTTCCCCAGCTAGAAGGCCTTGGTTCACAGCTGAGCTCTGTCCGCTGGCACTTCCCATCCTGCTTCATTAGTGCTTGCACCTGGCCACACTACCAGGAAGCTGCAGGTGAAGACATGGAGCCCCACTCCATCCTGTGCATGTCTGTCAGCAGTGAGTAAACAGTGCTTCTCAGTTGACACAGGAAACAATTACTCTATCAGATAGTTCCTTCCAGCCCATCTCGAGGGCCCTAAACTCTTAGGTTGGGTGTACTTGCATCTCCCTGTAAGAGGGCTCAGTATAAGTGTGGTGGGTTCAGTATAAGTGCTAGAACTAAAATGACAAATGACAAAGAAGTTCTAGTCCAGAAAAGAAATGAACATAAGAGAGGGTGTCTAGGTGGGAGAAGCCAGCTATCCTTCCCAAGCTCTGTTACTTCAGGCCTTTGGAGTGACTCAGAATCCTAGTGGATCGTGATCTCCATCCCATCAGCAGAGAGGGAAAGAACAGACATCTGCCTTACAGCCACCAGTCTGAATCCACATTCCTCCACAGTTCAGGTAGCTTGGTCCTCATGTCAATGGGGAAGTGCTGTTTTGTGGGAGTCCACAGAAAATCTTAAAGTTAGAAGAGTTGAAGTAGTGCTACAGAAACCTCTCCATGTGGCCTGATGAGTACAGTGGCCCATGGAAGCAGTGAAGCCCTGGGTTCTAGATACTGATTTAACAATAGCCCACGTCACAATCATCCTTAAATGGCTCCATGGCCTGCACGGACATAAATCAGCTAACCTGAGTGTCAGCACAGGCTGGATGAAAACCTTACACTTTTCTGTGTATTAGCTGGATGAGCTGCTCCCTCCAGAACTGTTCTCAGGAACTGAGTCTAAATGAGGTCCGATACTTGGTCATCTGATCTCCCTTCACTAAATGCATAGTTAGGATAGCCATCTTGTTATGGGCTGCATGTGAGATAGGATTACATGTCTGTATCCAGCCAACCACCTGAGAGAAAGAATGGAAGCTGAAACAGGATCCTGGATGGGGCTCAAGAGGGAAAGAAGGTGAGGACAGCAACAATAATGGTGCAGAAAACCAAGCAGAGCTAAGAGATCATCTGGGAGGCAGCCTGGTGCAGGAATAATGAGAGGAGGGCACTGATGCAGGGCAGTCAGTATGCAAACAGATGACATGGTGTCTATGGTAGGAGGTGGTGACAATTCCATCTAAAGTAATCATCAGTCCAAACAGAGTGAGGGAATGCAGCCATGTGGGAAGGAAGGTGGAGCAGGAGCCTGGTGACATGCACAGGAAGTGATCAAGTAACTAAGTATGCAATAGAAGCCAAGGGTCTTGATATCTGACATGTGAATTAGAAATATGGTTAGGGAAGAAACAAGAATGAATCCTGGCTGGATATAATTGTGAGATAATGGCATACAGAGATAGCTAAGAGATAGAAATAAAAATACAAATGTGCACATTCAGATTACACACACACATAGTTTCTAGATTTCATGACAGAGAAGGCCTGTGACAAGAAATGCTTCAACTATAATCAGCACCCAGAATGCCTAGATGTGTACTTATAAATAGCACTCTTTACTAAGAATAGGGTTCTCTGAAGAAATGTCTGCTTCCAAGGCCAGAGCTAAGAAATGCTTTGTGCCATAAGAAGCAAGGCAGGGTTCAACACATGGTCAGATATTGGGTTAGAAAGCTGAAAGATCAGAGAAGCATAGCAGCCAGTCACTAGAGAGTTCTTACCTCTACCAAGGCTCAGACGAAAAAGGACAATCCTGTCCTTAGTGTGACTGTAGATTGAATAAACTACAATCCTGTTTCCACCCACCTTACATTCCGCTCTAGTGCTGGGATTAAAGGCATGCACAACCATGTCCAGTTTCTAAGGATAACTAGTGTGACTGCTGGGATTAAAGGTGTGTGCCACCACTCACTGCCTGGCCTCTATGGCTGACAAAGGTGGCTAGCTTTGCACTCTGATCTTCAGACAAGCTTTATTTGTTAGATCATAAACAAAATATCACTACAAAATATTTGCTGAGTAATGATGCTACTTGCAGCCTGAAAGTAAGTTTTCACAATAAAATTATGTATCACAGGACAGGCAGAAAGGAAAATCCTGAG